AGAGATCGCCATCGCATCAGCTCTCGCTCGAGGCCATGGTCCGCTCCACAATCTTCAAAGGCTCGGACGTCAGGATTGCTGCGGCCCCCCTCTGCGACCCCGGCAGCTGGCCGCGCAGAGACACCCCAGCGGCCAGGTGGAACTGGATGACATGCCAAGCCTGGCGCTGGCGTAACGCCGAACACATCAACGAACTCGAGCTGCGCGCCGCAGATTAGTTTTCGCTTCGCTCACCTCTTGGATTCGCATGTGCGCATCGGAGTGCTGTGCAAGGGGAGGTCCTCCGCCCGCGGCCTCCAGAATATTCTCGCCCGTGTCGTCTCATTGTTGCTCGCTGGTAGTCTCCACCCGCGCTGGGTCTGCGTGAGGTCGGCGGACAACCCCGCCGACGCGCCATCGCGATGGCGAAGCATCTGGGAACCGCCATGGCCAAGCAGCGACAGCAGAGACGACGATCAGCGGGCACTTTGCGAGATTTGCAGATCCAGCCGCGGACCCTCAAGCGGTGCAAACACGCGGTCAATGCCTTTTCGACTGGCTCGAACGTGAGCGTCCTGACATATTGTATAAACATCACCTTGCATGCCCTCTTTGCGCGGAGGCCGTCGACGAGGCGGCTTCCGACTATTTGGAGGCGCTGTGGGACGACGGATTGGCCCGCATATTGGCCGCCGACACGCCGTGTAGTCCCGAGCCTTCGGCGAGAGCTCAAGGAAAGCTGGCGCATGCTTCGCATGTGGGACCAGAATGAGGTGCCTAGCCGCGCCCCGCCGTTACGACCAGAGCTGGTGATTGCTCTGGCGGGCTTTGCGCTCGCCGACGGCCGGGAGGGCGTGGCCGCCGCACTCCTGGCAGGATTCAACGGTTTGCTGCGCCCCTCCGAGATGCTCATCTCTGCGCGGGACTGCGTCTTTGACCGCGGCCAGCGCACGTGCGTGGTCAACCTGGGGCTTACAAGCGGCGGCAAGAGGCAAGGGTGCCCCGAGGACGTCATCATCGATGACGGATTTGCATATGTGTTGCTCCGCCAGGCGCTTGCAGGCCGCGCGGCTGGCACGGCCCTCCTCCCGAGAGGACTAGCCGATTTTCGTGCACATTTTGCCTCTTACGTCTGCAAGGCGGGATTCGACCCTAGCAGGGTTAAGCCCTACAGCGTCCGTCGTGGCTGCGCCACCCACCGTTTTCTTCGCTCGGCAACATGGCGTTGACCTGCGAGCGAGGCCGTTGGAGGTCCAGGGCGACGGCCAAAATTTATGTCGTAGAAGGGGGTGGCTGCCCTGGAGGCCATCTAAACAGCAGCGGGCAGCCTTGACTTTGGGGCAGCAGTTGTTCCACAGGCATTTTGCGCGCATCCTTGAAAGTTGCAGGTAGAAGCAAGCACGCCTTCGGCAGAATCTGGGGCCTATGAGGTACGACTTCGCCAGACCTGGGGTACGTGAGCATGCACGGCACCGACAGCTTGCCCCTGGAGGGGAACCCGTCCGTAGTGGCGGAGGCCGGCCATGCGTGGGGGCTGCAGGGAACCCGTCCGCAGTGGTGGATGCCGGCCAATCTTGGCGGCTGCTGCTGACCCGCGCTCGGGGCCGAGGGGCTCGAGGGCCGATGGCCTGGGTCACCGAGCCGAGGGTGCTCGAGGGCCGGTGGCCTGATTGCGGCATCTCCGGGCACAGGCTCGAGGGCCGCTGGCCTGCGCTGTCAGCACGGTGCCGCCCGCGACGTCGCACACAGCGGTGCGGCACGCCAGCGCTCAGAAGAACAGATCCGCGCATGCTTGCTGTGCTAAGGTATCGCCTTCGACATGTAGCACACGAGCAGAAACAGGATCGTTCCATAGCTATCTTGGGTCCCGCCCTTGCCTCCTTCAACACGCAGATCTTTTCTTGATGCATGCGCGGCGCCGACAGCCTGCCCCTGGAGGGAACCCGTCCCTGCGTGGGGGCTGCAGTGAGCCCGTCCGCAGTGGTGGATGCCGGCCAATCTTGGCGGCTGCTGCTGACCCACGCTCCGGGCCGAGGGGCTCGAGGTCCGATGGCCTGGGTCACCGAGCCGAGGGTGCTCGAGGGCCGATGGCCTGATTGCGGCATCTCCGGGCATAGGGTCGAGGGCCGCTGGCCTGCGCTGTGAGCGCGGTGCCGTGCGCGACGTCGCACACAGCAGTGTGTCGCGCCAGCGCTCAGAAGAAAAGATCCGCGCATGCCTTCTGTGCTAATTTTGATGCTACTGATGATGATGATGATGATGATGCTGATGATAAGGATGATGATGATGATGGTGATGATGATGTTGTTGCTAATGATGCTGATGCTGATGCTGCTGATGACGATGATGATGATGCTGATTATGATTATGCTGATGATGTTGGGGATGCTGATGAGGACGAGGACGAGGATTATGATGAAGCTGATGATGAGGATGCTCATGATGATGGTGATGACGATGATGCTGATGACGATGGTGATGATGATGATGATGATGATGAGGATGAGGATGATGATGATGATGATGATGATGATGATGATGATGATGCTGATTATGATTATGCTGATGATGCTTGGGATGCTGATGAGGACGAGGACGAGGATTCTGATGAAGCTGATGATGAGGATGCTCATGATGATGGTGATGACGATGATGCTGATGACGAGGATAATGATGATGATGATGATGATGATGATGATGATGATGATGATGATGATGATGATGATGATGATGATGATGATGATGATGATGATGATGATGATGATGATGATGATGATGAGGAGGAGGAGGAGGAGGAGGAGGAGGAGGATGATGAGGAGGAGGGGGAGGATGAGGATGCCCATGCGGAGGAGGATGAGGATGATGGTCATGTTGATGATGAGGACGGGAAGGAGGAGGAGGCGGAGGAGGATGAGGAGCAGGAGGGGGAGGAAGAGAAGGATGAGGAGGAGCAGGAGAAGGAGGGGAAGGAATTGGAGGAGGAGGATGAGGAGGGGGAAGAGGATGAGAGGAGGATGGAGAGGAGGAGGATAAGGACCAGCGGGTGGATGTTTCCAAGTCCGTATTTTGGGGGTACTGAAGAGAGGGGGCAGGCGTACACGCCAGTCGTTGAAAACAGGTTTTTTGTGGACTCCCAGATCCCAATCTTCTTCTAGCGCCACCCTGCTGAAAGGATCGGCATGGTTTCGAAGCGTTGTGTTATTGATCAGCCTTCCTACTTCATTTGTTTCACTGTTTCTTCCGACCGACGTGAATGTGTATGTATGCGAAATTGCTTACACACTTTAATATAACGTGTATACATAGTACACAAATGTATGTTTACATTTTCATATATATATACATATATATACACATGCATATGCATGTATGCATGCATACATGCATGCATCTATGTATGCATGCATGTCTGTATGTATATGTATATGTAGAAATTTATGTATGCATGCATGCATGCATGTATGCATGTATGTATGTATGTGTGCTTGTATGTATGCATGTATGTATGCATGCCTGCATATATGTATGTGTGTATGTGTGTATGTCTGTATGTATGCATGTTTGTATGTGTGCATGTATGTATGTACGTATATATGTATGTATGTGTATATGTATGTATGTATGTCTGTATTTATGTATGTATGTATATGTATGTATGTATGTATGTATGTATGTATGTATGTACGTATGCATGCATGCATGAATGCATGTATGTATGCATGCATGCATGCATGCATGTATGTGTGTAATGCATGCATGTATGAAATGTATGCGTACATGTATGTATGTATGTATGTATGTATGTATGTATGTATGTGTTTATGTGTGTATGTGTGTATGTGTGTATGTGTGTATGTGTGTATGTGTGTGTATGTGTGTGTATGTGTGTGTATGAGTGTGTGTGTGTGTGTTTATGCATGTGTATGTATGTGTGCACGACGTATACGTGCATGCATGCATGCATGTTTGTATGTATGTATGTAGGTATGTATGCATGAAAGTAAGTATGGCCTGTGTATGTAAGTATGTACGTACGTATGCATGCATGTATGTGTGTATACATGCATGCATGCATGTATGCATGCATGCATGTATGCATGCATGCATGCGTGCATGCACGTATATATGCAATGTATCGCATTGTAATCTAATGTATTGTGAGGTCTTGGGATGCAATTGAATGTACTGCATTGTAAGGAAATATATTGCAATATAGTGTAATATAATGTCGTGTAATGTACTTTAGTGTAATGGGCTAATGTAATGCAATGTGATGTAATGCAATGAAGTATAATATAATGTACTGTGCTGTATGTATGTAAGGATGGATGCACGAATGTATGCATCTATGCATACATGCATGCATGCATGTATGTATGTATGTATGTATGTCAGTAGATTCGTCTATGCGAATACCAACGACTCCACGAGGTCGGATAATTTTCTGACTATCTCAAGGTGTCATCTTGATGCAGCCTGTGCGGCCGATGGGGACTCCAGAACGCCCTGGCCTCGGCCTTTCAGGGCCCACCGCGCCCAGAGCCCGCCTTGGAATCTGATGGCCCTTTCTGCCCGCGCCTGGCCTCTGCCACGATGGTGCGTACGCCTAGCCTCGGCCCCAATGGTCTGTGCGCCCTCCTGGGGCCCAGAGGATGGCCCTGGCCAGGGACGGTGGTTGTGTATAGATGCCTCCAGCGGCTGGGAGGGTGCGTCTGTGGCCCCCTCGGCGCTGTCATGGCCCTCGAATAAAGGGTGAAGGGGCGGCTCGGACGGGGGGGGCTAGGACGAGGACAAACCCGTTCCACAGCGCTCTCGAACGCTCTCAGAACGTGCCGGAACGCTCCAAGAAGGCCGCGGCGCCCGAGCCGCCGGATCTCAAAGGCTCTCGATTGATCCGCACCTGATTTTATCCTCGTCGTGGCTTCGTCGTAGCGGCCCGCCTGCCGCGCCTCGAACCGGCCCGGGCTGCGAGCCTGCGCCGCGAACGGGAGCTGCTGGCCGCGCCGCGGAGCACCCCGCAGGCCTCCAAGGCCTCCGAGGCCGAGGCCGCCCTCGCCAGCAGCACGTGGGCACCCGAGGCGCCGGTGCGGACCCGAGCGCGCGCGGGAGAGGTGGGGGCCCCGTGGCCACCCGACGGGTTGTGCCTGGCCCACCCGCCGCCCCCCGTGGGTTCCAGGACTCCCCTGGGCCCTGGTCTTCCGCACGCTTCCAGCGGAGTTCGAACCCGACGGGGTCGCCCGGTGGGTCCGGTCCGGTCTGCCTGGCAAGGGTAGAGGATTGAGGAGAAATGAGGAGAGATGAGGAGGAGGAGGAGGAGGAGGAGGAGGAGGAGGAGGAGGAGGAGGAGGAGGAGGAGAAGAGGAGGAGGGAGAAGAGTAGGAGGAGGAGGAGAGAGGAGGAGGACGGAGGAGGAGGAGGAGGAGGCGATAGAGGAGGAGGAGGTGGAGGTGGGTGGAGGAGGAGGAGGAGGAGGAGGGAGAAGAGGAGGAGGGAGAAGAGTAGGAGGAGGAGGAGGAGGAGGGAGGAGGAGGAGGAGGAGGAGGGGAGGAGAGGAGGAGGAGGAGGAGGAGGCGATAGAGGCGGAGGAGGAGGAGGTGGAGGTGGAGGAGGAGAAGGAGGAGGAGGAGGAGGAGGAGGAGGAGGAGGAGGGAGAAGAGGAGGAGGGGAGAGAGGAGGAGGAGGAGGAGGAGGAGGACGAGGAGGAGGAGGAGGAGGAGGAGTAGGAGGAGGAGGAGGAGCGGAGGAGGAGGAGGAGGCGGAGGAGGAGGAGGAGGAGGGGGAGGGAGGAGGAGGAATAATAATAATAAACATAATAACAATAATAATACTAATAGTAATAATAATAAACATGATAATAATAATAAGACAACTAATACGAATAATAACAGTAATAATAAGAATAATAAACATTCCAATGCTAATACTAAGAGTACTAATAATAGTACTAAGAATAATACTCATAAGACGAAGAAGACGACGAATAAGACGAACACGAATAATAATAATCATAATAAGAATATCAAGAATAAGACGAACACGAATAATAATAATAGTAATCATAATATTAATAATAATAATATCAATAATAAGAATAAGCAGAAGACGACGAAGACGAATCATACGAACAGTAGTACTAATAAGACGAAGAAAGTACGAGTAATAATAATAATAAGAATACTAATACGAATAATACTAATACTAAGAATAATAAGGCGCATGAGAGTTCGAATAATAATAAGAAGAATAAGACGAATAATAATACTAAGACGAAGAAGGCGACGAAGACTAATAATACTAATCAGCATACTAATTAGAATAATAATACTACTAACACGAATACTACTAGTACGAATACTACGAGTTATAAGAAGACGAACACGAAGAACACGAATAATACTAAGACGAAGACGAAGCATAATAAGCATACTGCTACTAATAATAATAATTTTATTATCAAGAATAATAAGAATACCAAGAATACTACGAATCCTAAGAATAAGAGAAATAATAAAACGACTAAGAATAATAATAAGAATCACACGGCTAATAATACTATTAATAATAGTACTAACAATAATAATACTAATAATAAGAATAAGAATAAGAATAACAAGCATATTTTGAAACATAAACATAAGCATACTAACAATAATACTAATAGTCATACTGATAATAATAACACGAATCATACTATGAATACGAAACAGACGAATATTATTAATCATACGAAGAATAATAAGAAGAAGACGAATACTACTACTCATAATAATAATACTAATAATAATACTAATAATAATAAGAGGAGAAGGAGGAGGAGGAGGAGGAGGAGGAGGAGGAGGAGGAGGAGGAGGAGGAGGAGGAGGAGAAGAGCAGGAGGGGCTGAGAGGAGGAAGGAGGGGAGGAGGAGGGGGAGGAGGGGAGGGGGAGGAGGAGGAGGAGGAGGAGGAGGAGGAGGAGGAGGGGGAAGGGGGGAGGAGGAGGAGGAGGAGGAGGAGGAGGAGGAGGAGGAGGAGGAGGAGGAGGAGGGAGGAGAGGGGGGAGGAGGAGGATGAGGAGGAGGAGGAGGAGAAAAAGCATGAGGAGGAGGCGGAGGAGGAGGAGGGGGAGGAAGAAGGAGGAAGGGGGGAGTGGGAGGAAGGGGTGGGAGGGGGAAGGGGGGGAAGGGGGGAGCGAGAGGAAGGTGGGTAAGGGGGTTAAGGGGGCGAGGGGGGGATGAGGAGGGAGAGGGGGAAAGGGGGTGAGCAGATGTGGAGGAACGTGAGGGTGAGGAGTAGGATGACAACCAGGAAGATGAGGATCTGGGGCCGCTCGCGAGCCCCGCCCCTAAGGGTCCAACCGATGCCATGGTATCGGACGCCCCCGCGCGGGTTCACCTGGCTGCGGACATCCTTCGATTTCCAAACCCCGGCCAGCGTTTCGGAAAATTTACCTGCAGGGGTAGGGTTCACACCTGGCTGCCTAGAGGAGATACATCCATAGTTTTTTCATCGTCGCACACTTTGCGTCCCTGGCGGCCTGTTGTCCTCGTCTCTGTATTGCTCCGTATTCTCTTTCCCCTGCTCTCTCAACCTACTCCCTTGTCTGGGTCGCCGTCGTCTCGTGGTCGTGGTCGTGGTCTTGGTCGTGGTCGTGTTCGTTGTCATTGTCGCGGTCGTGATCGTCGTCGTCGTCGTATCTTTCTTCTCCATCTCCTTTCTGGCGCTATTACATCATATCCGTCCCATGCAACGCATAGCCCTCCCTCTTAGTGAGCTTTCACAGGGAATCGCGTGCCCTGTCATGTCTTGTTCCTTTAGGATGGGCCCGTTGATGTTGCCACTTGTTGCAGATGGGTTGGGTACATCACTGGGGAATTTTCGTGATGTGGCTTGCGCTTGAGTGGTAATCCTATGGGGCGCTCTTTTTTCTTTCCACGGGGAGCTGCCCGTAATGAGAGTCTATTTGTAGGGACTTCTGTGGAAAGGACTTGGGACCGATGGGTGTATTGCATCATTGTTTCTATATTCAATATTCAGGGTCTACTCCAGTCCTCCCCCCTCCTCGCCCTACCCCTCGCTCGGACCAGTGCCCAGCTGGGAGTCTGCATGGATGGCCATTTTGCGGCAATCTTGGGAGTATTCTGAGCCACCTTGGCGTCTCTTGGAGGCTTCCTGAACCTCAGCGCATTGTGGGATACCTTGATCCCCAAAGTGGGGAATGCAGCCGCTATCGAACTACTCAGTCGAATTTAGCGGTTTTGTGCTCTCGGAAGCCCTCTGCGCAATCATCTTGGAACATGGTATTTGTGTGTTGTGGCCACACTGGCGCCGTTTTCGGGCATCCATCCGCTCACCGACTCTGGCCATCCTGGGCCCTCCAATTGACCACCTCGGACAATCGTGGCCCATTTCGAGGGCCTTGGCGGATCAGTTGGCTATTTCAGAGGGGTGTGCGGTTCCCCCCAACCAGGATTTTGAACCTTAAATGGGGGTCGGCGGATTTTCCTTGTCCTCCTCCTCCTCCTCCTCGTTCTCCTCCCAACCTCCCAGGACCTGTAGGAGCCGCTGGGAAGCCCCCAGAAAACGCCAAGATCTTCCCTCGGGCCCCTCTAAAACGGGGCTTCTGAGAGCCGCTGAACCTCACCAGAGCCCTTGTCCCTCCTCCTTCTCCTCCTCCTTCTCCTCCTCCTCCTCCTCCTCCTCGCCCTGTGCGGCCCGCTTACTGCTGGCGCGGTCGGCGAGGGGGCTGCAGGAGGCGTCGGCGGGGGGAACTGCTGGAGGAGGAGGTGGTGGCGGAGCCGCAGGCGCCGATGAGGTCGTGGGGGAAGGCGACTTCGTGACGACGGCGGGCAGCGCGCCGGCCACCCCCAGCGGAGCCGCAGGCGGCAACGGCGGAGCATCGGCCACGCGGCCGGGACAGGAGGCGGCCGCTATCGGCGAAGCTAGTGGAGGAGAATTGCGCCCGTGGGAGGCTGCCGGGGAGGGCCCCCGTGTTTCGGGAGGTGCCAGCCCATCTTCGGGAGGGACTGCTGCTGGCGCCGCGCTGCCGTCGCCGCCCGCGTCCGTCCGTCCCAGAGGGGCTGGGGCTGACCCGGACGGGGGACAGGCGGCGGGCGCTGCCGGCGATGCTGGAGGGAGGGGCTGTGCCTCGCCCAGAGGCTCCAGACCCTCCGAGCCTTCGTCCGAGTCTGCGGCACGCGTGGCTCAGCTGAGCGAGGCCCTCCGTGAGGAGCACCACCACCTTCATTGGCGGATCCAGTGCCTTGAGGCGGTGCTCGGGGACAGGCTGGGCCCCCCGACGCATGGGGCCGAGGGCAGCGGCCTAGCGGAGGGGGAGCCTGCTGGAGAGGGCTGCCGCGTTTCGGGGAGTGCCATCCCATCTTCGGGCGAGCCTGCTGCTGGTGCCGCGCTGCGGTCGCCGCCCGCGTCCAGGCCGGAGACGGCGATTGCGGGCCCGCCCATGTGTGACCGGCGGCTTGCGCTGGCGGCGGCCGCTTCTGCTCCGGAGGATGTGGAGGAGCTGGCGGAGGCGGTGGTGATGGCGGAGGCGGTGGTGGTGGCGGTTGGGGAGGCGTGCGGCGAGCTGTGCTCCGAGCCCGTTTCCGAAGCCCGCCCGGAGCTCAACGTGCTCCCGTGCACCCCGCCCCAGCAGCCTGCGGGCGCAGCGGCGGCTGCGTTGCACCCGCTCCTGGACGTCCCCCCGCCGCCTGCGCCGCCCGCGTACGGCGCCTCTTTCGGTGGCCGCGTGCACAAGACGTCCACGAGGAGGTCCGCGGTCTGCCGCTCGTGCCGCGAGATCCTGGAGGCCCAGCCAGGCCGCCAGCGGGGGGCGACACGGCGACCTCAGCAGGGCATGTGGCCGAGGCTTCTGCTCTGGATGCCATTCCGACTGCGTGCGCTCGGGGCAGTGGCCTGCCTGCGGCCCGCCAGGCGCTGCCGAGCTACCCGATGACGCCGGGGTCCTGGACGCGCGCCCCGCCCATGGTCAGCCCGCCACTGCCCCGCCAGCCCCGCGGGCCCTCGGAGGCCCAGCTGCTGCCCCGCCGCCAGACGTCGCCGCCGAGGCGATCGCCGCGCTCGTGGATCGCGCCGCTCAGGACGCCGCCGCCGGGATCGCCGCTGGCGCTGTGCCTGCTGGGGCGGGCGATGATACCCTGTTGCACCTGCTGGGGCATTTCCCGAGTGCCTTCCCGCGGGCGCCGCGGAGCTGGGTTCCGCGATCCCTCCAGCAGCAGGTCGCGAACGTCCTCCAGGCGCTGATCGTCGACGCGATGGTCCGCGCCGGGGCAGAGGCAGGGGGCGCCACGGCCGAGGTCGCTCGCCGGCTCTGCAGGGTGGCGCCCTAGCTCCTCCGCGCAGTGGCGGACGAAGCGGAGCCTGGGGGCCCCGCCGAGCACGAGCTGCGCGGTGCCTCCAGGTCCACCGCGATCCTCCGCTCCCGCATCCGGTCTGCGGTCTTAGGGGATGGGACTAAGCTGATTCCCTGAGATCCTGGCGTTGCATTTTTTTCACAGCGGGCGTTAGCTTTGTCGCTCAATTTCGGGCCCACAAGTCGATCCAGCTCGAAAAACGACGAAGAAAGATGGGGTCTGGGCTCCGGGCGTGATTTTTTGCAGTGGTGTATTTTTTTTGCAACGTCGGATCTCAGGATCAGGGACTTGCTTCAAGACCTCGAAGTTGAGCGTACAAATTGGGCGTGCCCCGCGCCTCGTTATCGTCGCGCGACGCTGAGGGGACTCACGGCCCCTGCGGCCCAGGCAGCCGCTAAGGACGAAGATCTGTCACAGCAGCGCGCGCGCGGGGGGCGTGGCATCCGTTGTGGAGGCCCTCGGGTTCCCCCCAGGCCTACTGCGGACGAGAGCGTCCAGGCGCTGGTCCACACTGCCCCCGTCTAGCCAGCCGACGAGTTAGCGCTGCGGGAGGTGCTCGCTGCGGCGGCGGCCATACCCATGAAGAAGCGCCTAAAGGTCACGCTGCAGCTCGTCGGCCGCCAGGCTGCTGCCGTCAAGCCCTCGGCCGGATGCGGCCCAGCGGCTGGCGGAACAGCCACGTTTTGCGCGTCTATTCCAACCTGGACGGGCCGCGCGCTCTGGCTGAGTGTCCTGCTGGACCCGTGGCGCCATCAGCCCATGGCTCGCGAGTCTCTGGTTTGGATGGCTCGCCTGGCCGTTCTACAAGACGGCGCTGTGTGAGAGCATCCGCCCCTTCCTGCAATGCGAGGCATTGCTCAAGTTCGCCATGGGGACGTGCGCTTGCTGGGGGCTGGCATGCAGGTCGCGGAGGCGGTCGGGGAACGCCAGTACGGAGCTGGACGCTGCGTTGGGGCGCAATTGGAGATTGCGCAGGTAGGGCAGCCGCGCGGGCCTTCCTGCAGCACGCGTTCATCGGCCTCGACATCAAGAACGCTCTCGGGCAGGTGCGTTGGGCCCACGCCCTCGAAGCAGCCGTTGCAAAGGCCCGCATGGTGACCGTTCCCATGGCAATCTTCTGGTGGGACCTCCGGGTCGAGGTGCTCCTCTTGGATGCGGATGGGAGGGGCGGGCGTTTTTTCTTCATGCACGGCAGCCTCATCCAATGGAGCCAGGATGGCCATCCCGCCTTCTGCATGGTCATCGCCGTGGTGTGGCACGTCGCGCTGGCTGGACATCCGCCATTGGCTGTACGTCGACGATTGGTTTATGCTGGCGCCGCTGGCGATCGCAGTGCAGCTTCTCGCCGCCGTGGAGGCCACGGCAGCGGCCTGCAACCCCCCACAGTGCATCTCGCGAGGTGCGCCTTCACGTGCCCGCGCTGTCCAGCACCCCGTTGGCGGCGCTTTCGGATGACGCACGGGCACTCGCGGCGCGCGCATCCCATACCGCCCCGACGGGTTGAACCTGCTGGGCACGGAGGCGCGCGGCGACCATGCCATACCGCTCTACGCCGGCAGCATTCTGGAGTAGACCTGGCAGCGCCTGGGCCGAGAGATCCGCTTTGCCGACGCCGCTCTCGAGATGATGCGTTTGGCACCGCCAGCGGGCGCCAAACAGGCTGCCTTCGTCTTATGGCTTCTCATCGTTGCCCACGCGATCGACTACGATGCAGGGGTCTTGCCGTGCAGCGCTCTGCTGCCCCACGCCCGTATCCTGGACCGGAGCGTCGTGAGCGTCGTCGCGGCATTGATCGACCTGCGCCCCGACCAGCTCACCGAGCCAGAGCTCCACCAGATCGGTCTGCCAGTCTGGTTCGCTGGCCTGCATGTGGACGTGCCCTCGCGCATCGTCCCGCTGGCGCGGGCGGCGCGGCTTGCTCAGCACGGCCCAGCACGCGCGCCGAGATCGTCCTGGGCCAGCGGCGGCGGCGGGGCGGCCGCTGTCGCCCGCGACGTCAGTCCGCGACGTCAGACAGCTCGATGGCTTCGACGATGCTGTTGCGGACGGTATTCTGGACATGCTGCGTGATTGCGGCATCGCCGCCATCGCCAGGTGCGTTTTCCCTGCTTCGGACCCAGCCGAGATCGCGAGCGACCCGCTTCGCCGGGGGCCCCAGAGCAGCACCTGCTCAGCGAATATTTGCAGCATTCGGCCACGGCGCTCTACTCGGACCTGCTCGCGGGGGCGGCGGCGCGGGACGGGACTCGTCTCCTCTTCGCGGCGGGGCCGACCGAGGGGGCAGCGCTCATTGCCGAGCTCTCCGTCTCTGGCGTCGCTCTCGCGGACAGGGAGTGGGTCGAGGCCATGCGTTTCCGCATGGGCACTCTCATGGTGTGCCCCCCCAGCGCGCAATGCCTCATTGAGGCGACGTCCATGCAGGAACGGTGCCTCGAGCAGCTTGACGTGCACGGTGACATCGCGGCCGCGTACGAGAACGGGCCACTATGAACACGCCCCCACGACGACTTGGCCGACGTCTACGCGGACATAATCGCGGAGGCGGGCGAGTACGTTCGCCGCGAGCTCTGCGTCCCGGAGCTCTCCATTAGCCGCGCGGAGGCATGGTTGGACGTCTGGGCCTATGGCGTCTCATAACTGACAGACTGCCTGCTCGACGTCACGGTGCATCATCCCATGTCTGTCGCCTACCAGCCGGCTCCTCCTCCTCCTCCCTCTTCCTCCTCCTCCTCCTCCTCCTCCTCCTCCTCCTCCTCCTCCTCCTCCCCCTCCTCTTCTTCCTCCTCTTCCTCCTCCTCCTCCTCCCTCCTCCCTCCTACCTCCTCTCCTCCCTCCTCCCTCCTCCCTCCCCCTCCCCACGGTCATGTGCCACCTCTCCTCGTGGTGACCACGTGGTGAACTCGCGCCCCCACTGCGCGCGCAGGCCTCGGCCGCGGACCCCGCCCGCCTGGCCCAGGCGGCGGCGCCCAGGCCCCGCTCTCGGTGGCTCGAGGGGTGGTGGTGAAAGGCGGGGATTGAGACGGGGATGGCGAGTGGGGTGAGAGGGGGATTGGGCGGGGATGGGGACGGGGATGTGGAGGGGGGGAGGGGTGATGTGGGAAATGAGGGGAGGAGTGGACGGAGGCGCCGCCCCAAACCTTGGGGGCGCTCCTAGAGTGGATGCGGGACTTAAGCGTGCAACCGTGCAACCGGGGAGGGGGAGGAGTGGGGGGAGGCAGTGGAGGCGGCGAAGGAGGAGGATGAGGATGACGCGAAATGTGATGTTGATGAGGATGATGGCGATGATGAGAGAGAGCGTGATCCACCGCCGCTTTACTGTGGAAAATTGCCACCCTCTTCCTCAGGAGCCCGGGGTTCCCCCCCTCCGAAAATCCCCCCCCCCCCCCCCCTCCCCCCCCCCCCTGCCCCCTCCCCCCCCCCCTCCCCTCCCCCAGCCCCCCCCCTCCCCCCCTCCCCCCCCCTCCCCCTCGAAAACCGGGGGGGGGGGTCACTACCGGTTCGAACCCCCCCCCCCCCCTCTCGAAAACCGGAGGGGGGGTCACTACCGGTTCGAACCCCTCCCCCCCCCCACTCACCGCCAGCAAACGACTCCCGGTCCCTACCACCGTCCGCACCACATCCCCCACTGTTGTTCCCAGCACCACTGTCCTCACCACCACTGTCCCCACTGGTTCCACCACCGTCCCTACTGTCCCCACCAGTGCCCCCACCACTGTCGCACTGTCCCCACTGTCCCCACCACTGTTCCCACCACGGTTCCACTCTCCCCACTTTCTCCACGGCCCCAACCACTGCCCGACTATCCCCACTGTCCCCACTGTCCCACTGACTCCTCCGCTGTCCCACTGAGCTGTCCCACTGTTCCCACCACTGTCCCCACTGTCCCCACCACTGTCCCCACTGTACCTCTGTCCCATTGTCCCACCGCCGTCCTCGCCACCGCCTTCACCACTGTCCCCACCACCACTGTACCCTCCACTGTCCCACTGTTTCCACCTCCCCCTGTCCCCACACCACTGTCCCCACCACCACCGTCCCCACCACTGTCCACTGTCCCCACTGTTCCCACCATTGTCCTCACCACTATCCCCACCACTACAGTCCCCACCACTGTCCCACTGTACCCACCACTGTCCCGCTGTCCCCTCACCACTGTCCTCACCACCACCGTCCCCACCACTGTCCGCACCCCCCCTCGGTTTTCGAGGAGGGGGGGGGATTCGAACCGGTAGTGACCCCCCCCGGTTTTCGAGGGGGGGGGGTCGAACCGGTAGTGACCCCCCCCCCCTTTTCATGATGAACTGGGGGGGGGGAGGGGTTCGAACCGGCAGTGACCCCCCCCGGTTTTCCGGAGGGGGGGGGGAGGGGTTCGAACCGGTAGTGACCCCCCCCGGTTTTCCGCCAGCAGCGGTAGAACACGCTCTTTCGATGATGATGATGATGATGATGACGATGCTGATGCCGATGCCGATGCCGATGACGGCGACAATGACGAATATCATGATGATGGTGATGAGGTTGATGATGTTGACGGCGATTCTGGTGGTGATGGTCATGATTCTGGATGTGATGATACTGATGATGGTGACGACGATGCTGATCATGAGGGTATTGTGGCAGATTCTGATGGTACTGATGCTGTTGATGATGCCGACGACTACGATTGTGGTGATGATGCTTTTTGCGAGGATCGTAAGGGTTATGATTATGAAGATGATGTTGATGATGATGATGATGATGATGAGGAGGAGGAGGAGGAGGAGGATGAGGATGAGGATGAGGATGCTGATGATTGCGATGATGACGATGCTGCTGCTGTTGATGATGGTTATGACGGTGATGATGCTGATGATGTTGACGGTGGTTGGGTTCGTTGCTGTGGCGAAGCTAGTGGTGAGCACGATGCTGTTGGCGATGCTGATGATAATGATGATGATGATCATTTGTATCAAGATTTTTGTGATATAGACGATGACGATGATGATCACAAAGATGACGGTGATGATGCTGATGATGATGCTGCTGTTGTTGCTGTTGATTGCGATGGTGATGCGGATGATGAGTGTGACGAGTCAGCTGACGCTGATGATGCGGGTCCTGATGGTGGTGGTAGGGATGATGATGACGATGATGCCGATGACGGCAACGATGATGAGCTCATTATGATGATGCTGGTGGTGACGGTAGCGACGAGGAGGATGATGCTGACGAGGGGGTGATGATGACGATGATGATGATGATGCTGATGATGCTGATGATGATGGTGATGATGATGACGATGATGGTGAGGATGCAGATTATGCTGCTGCTGATGACGATGACAATAATGATGGTGGTGACGATGATGAATGTGCTTCAGTTGGCTGCTGCTGCTGCTGATGGTGCTGCTGCTGATGATGATAAAGGCGACGATGGTGATGAGGATGATGAGGATGATGATGATGAGGATGATGATGTTGATGATGCTGATGATTATGATGATGATGCTGATGATCATGATGATGCAGATGATGATGATGATGATGATGATGATGATGGTGACGACGATGTCTATGACGATGACGACGATGATGATGACGATAACGATGATGATGATGATGACGATGATGACGATGATCACGATTATGATGATGCTGATGATGCTGATGACGATGATGATGACGATGATGATGCTCATGATGATGATTCTGATGATGATGATTATTCTGCTGCTGCTGCTGATGATGATGATGATGATGGTTCTGATGATGATGATGATGGTGGTGATGGTGATGATGATGAGGAGGAGGAGGATAATGATGATTATTATGATGATGATTCTGATGATGATGATGATGATGCTGATGATGATGATGATGATGCTGATTTTGATGATGATGGTGGTTGTGATGATGATGCTGATGATGATGATGCTGATGCTGATGCTGATGCTGGTGCTGCTGCTGCTGCTGCTGATGATGATGATGATGATGATGGTGATGATGATGGTGATGATGATGATGATGATGATGATGATGATGATGATGATGGTGATGATGGTGATGATGATGATGATGATTGATGATGATGATGATGGCTGATGATGATGATGATGATGATGATGATGATGATGATGATGATGATGATGATGATGATGATGATGATGATGATGATGATGATGTGATGATGATGATGATGATGATGATGATGATGATGATGATGATGATGATGATGATGATGATGATGATGATGATGATGATGATGATGATGATGATGATGGAGGGGGATGGGAGGGGAGGTGGAGGGGGAGGGGGAGGGGGAGGGGGAGGGGGAGGGGGGGGGGAGGGGGGAGGGGGTGGGGGGAGGGGGGAGGGGGGAGGGGGGAGGGGGGAGGGGGAGGGGGAGGGGGGAGTAAGGGTGGTATCTTTGTGTAGGTGGCTTGTGTGTGTTTCCTGGTTTCTCATTTCCCTCTGCTGTCTCCCTCTCTCTCTCTCTCTCTCTCTCCCTCTCGTTCTTTCTGCCTGTATTAGTTTTTCGTTTGCTTTTGATTGGATTTCAATGAAAGGAGAGCGGAGCCCAGATCCAGAGGATTTCTATTTGGATTCTAATTAGATTCCAATTTGATTTCAATAGAAATGGAATGGATTCCGCATCCAGAAGATTCTATTGAAACCCAATGAGATTTCAATAGGATTTCAATCGAAAGAGAACGGGTCCCAGGTCCAGAGGATTTCTATTTGGATTTTAATTTGATTCCAATTGGAATTCAATAGAAATGAAATGGATTCCGCATCCAGAAGGTTTTATTGAAATCAATAAAAACGCTGTGTTTTCCAATAATTCCAAGTATTTCCCATATTTTCCAATAAAAACGCTGTGTTTTCCAATTTTCCAATGTTTTTCAAGGTTTCGGGTACGGCAACGCTGTATTTTCTATTTTTTTATTTAAAAATTAATAAAAACCCTTCGTTTTCCAATTATTTCAATGAAAAATCAATAATAACGCTGAGTTTTCCAATCTTTTAATCGAAAATCAATAAAAACGCTGTGTTTTCCAATCTTTTTTTTTTAAAAGCTAAATAAAAACGCTACGTTTTCCAATTATTTGAATGAACAATCAATACAAACATAATGTTTTCCAATCTTTTTCAACAAAAAGCATTAAAAAACGCTGTGCTTTCCAATTATTTTAAG